GTGCCCAATAAAAAGATGACTGATGATAAGACCAGGAACAGTATTAGCCAGGCAGCCTCCTTATCTAAGAGCCCTTAAATCGAAGGGAATAGACTCTTTCCAAGCTACAAGGACTCCAGGAAAGGGAACTGAAATATACCTTTCAGCATGAAATATAACCCAGAAAGTGTCTGAACTACCAGATGCATGACCAAAATACACGACCCATAACCGGAAGTGTTGAGAAGCAAATGCTAAACCGAAACTATTTCCAAAAACATGTCAATGGGTAGCTAGCCATCGTTTGTTTCAGGAAGACCCAGGGCCCACCTCATACTCTCCATGCATTTTAGGTATTTATATTTGTCTCTTGTCCCAGTTGAAGTTTTTGATTAGAAGCAAAGGCCATTACAGACCTACAACCTGTATACCTAACACTGTGCTACATTACAGATTACAATATAAAATAGGACCAGCACCTGAGATGATTGGGTCAAACTGTACTTATTCTGGCTTTACACTAATAACTCTAAACCACGAACACAAGTACTTAGACCACAATGGGAGCTTAGCCAGTCAGGCTGGAATGCGGGAGGGGAGTTACTCAGCTATAATGACATCACTCAAGATAGGCAAGCTACTAAAATAACTCAGATAATTTTAACTACCCTTTGTTAAAGTTAACACCACTTCCTGGAAGCCAACTGAGTTCAAAGGCTGTTAGAAAAAGGTCTAAATTTTTTAGATAGGTAAGCTAACAAAATAACTCAGGTGATTTTTCTTTTATAACTACCCTTTGTTAAAGTTACACCTCTTCCAGGAAGTCATCTGAGTTCAAAGGCTGTTAGGAAAAGGTTTAAGAACAGCTCACAGCCATGGGGGGAAAAAAAAAGAACAAAATTACTAGTATTCTATTTTTTAACTTAGGCACAAGTTCACTGCACCAAATTCTGGGGAGAAATTATTGGGTAAATGAATGTGAAACAAGTGTGAGAAATGAGACATGAATGTGGAAATTACAGGTGAAATACGGAGCAGTCTTTCAGTTTCAGATGTCGCTGTAAAGCGCAAATTCCAAGTTTCCAGTAGAAGTTACCCTTCCCTACTCACTCAAGCAACAACGTATACTAGAACTTGTTAAATTTAAACTCCATATACGCTGATTTATTCTGTACAAAAGGTGTTAGTCACTAATGAATCAAATAACTAGAAACTGCATCTATAAAAGAGAATACACATACCAAACTATTAATCACTATTCTTTCCCTGCCAGTCCAAGGATTCTTCTACACTGGGGAAAAAAAGAGGGAGGGGAAAAGACAGAGAGGAGAGGGGGAGGGAAAGAACTTAGGGGAGGGCCTAAAAAGTTTTAAAATGTTAATTAGCTCTACCAGGCTTGCCAACAGTTCGTGAATAAATTGCTGTATCTGTAAATACACATTTTTAACTCATGAAGAAGGAAAGATTGGACTAAAGCCTGTTGCATGAAATAGGTATGTATATCTTCCCAAGTATAAATACAATGTGTCTAACTCTATCCCCACACTTAAAAACTTATGGACATATTAGCAAATACTAAAACTTTAATAATTCAGTTTTCATGCACTGAAAGGGAGCTCAGGTTACTTTCTTCTGCTAATGACAGATACAATTTTAAAATTTGGGGGGAAAAAAAAAGAGGTAAGTGTTGGAAACCAGAGCTGGGGGTGTGTCTCAAGTGATGAAAAACCTGCCAAACAAGCATAAGGGTGAGTTCAAATCCCCTTACCTCCAAAGCACAAGTGAAATGGGGAAAACCACAGCAGCCATTGAAATCCTTACAAGTATTTAAGTCTGCAAGGGTGTTAATTTCTAGGGAATACATTTTGGTTCGCAATCGTAAACATCACGTGTACAATCTTCATGTACACTTCTATACAAATACTTGAGATCCAGTTGTTCAGCCAATTTCCACACGTGTTCCAAAGAATTCCTGCCAGTAAACCTATGCTACAAGAACTTACAAACACTATTATAGTGAGGTTACCCTTTTCAGAAAGTGGAATTTGCCCAAGAAAGCATCTCTATGTACACTCAAATGGCCCATATGCCTGTTGTTTTTGTTGTTTGGGTTTCTGTTTTGATTTTGGTGGCTGTGGAAGATTGTTGTTTTTTTGTTGCTTTTTTTTTGGGGGGGGGGTTGTGGGGTTTGCTTGTTGGTGCAAGTGCGGGAGCTTGAACTCAAAGGACTGGATGCTGCTCCCTGGCTATTTTTCTCAAGGCTGACGCTACACCACTTGAGCCAGAAAGCTCCCCTTCTGGCTTTCTGCTGAGTAACTGGAGAGGAGTCTCGTGGACATTCTATGGCCTGGGCTGGTTTCGAGCTGGGATCCTCAGATCTCAGCCGGAGCAGCTTACAGGTGTCACCACCTGTGCCCAGCTGCACGCCTGTGTCCAAGTAACACTTGATCCACTTTTAAAGAAGTGAAGGAGCGGCGGCGGCCCAGGCTGGGGCCTCTGCTCCGAGCGCGGCGCGGGCGCGCATGGCTCCCGCCTGCAGCCGGTCGGGACGGAGGGCTGCTGCCACCCAATGCCAGCGTCGGATGCCGGCATGGGGTGCTGCGGGCACGCGCGGCGCGGCGCGGGCACTTTTGGAGGGTTCTGGGGTCCCGCGCCAGCGGGTGCTGGTGCTGGGTGCCCGGCCGGCGGTGCTTGGTGGTTGGTGGTCACCGTCCGTACTGACCTGAGTCTGCCTCCCGGGAGGAAGGAGTGGCACCAGGTGAACAGGCACCGGGGCAGGTTCACGAACTCCTCCCCGGCCTGGCGAGCCATGGGCCGCCGGCCTCACACCCGGAGGGCGGCCTGCCGACCCCCCTCCAGCGGGAAACGGTTTCCGTCAATGGTGACAGAACGGAAGTCCCGCGCCTCGGAAGCGGCTCCGCGCGGGCGGGGCGGACCCGGCTAAGGGAGCGGGGAGGGCGGCGGAAATGCCAGCGCCAGGGCCGGTCTCCTCGGCCTCGCCTCTCCACAGACGGCCCCGAGGGAGCGAGGAAGGGCACACCCCAGCCGCCTCACCACCAAAACCTGCCCGGGAGCCGACGCCACCGCCCACCGGAAAGCTCCGGCCAGCGCTCGGGGCTTCCCCGCGGGCAGCTCGCCGGGCAACCCGCGCACGCGCATGCACGCACGCACGCCGGCGTCGCGGCGCTCCCCTCCCCACGCTGGGCGGGGTGACGTCAAGGAGGCGGGACCCGCCAGCCGGCACCGCCGTTGACCCGGCTGTTACCAGGCGCGCCAGCAGCCAATCAGCGGCGGGCGCCGTCGCCGGCCGGCCTTTGAACTCGGCACGGCAACTTCCTGCTGTCTGGCGAGTACACAGTGCAATGCAGTATGTCTGTCGGCGCTGCGGCACAAAGGAACAGCCATTTTGTGACTGAGCTGGGCCCGCACCCAGGTGCCAGGGGCGCCCCAAGCCGCTCCCGCACGAGATGCCGGGCCGCCCTTGCTCCCGGCACCGGGGCGCCGGCACGGAGGCGCGGGAGGGGAGGCCCGGCCGCTGCGGCCTGGAGGCTCGTTTGGTGTTGGGCCCTGACCGAATTCCCGGTTTTGAAAGTATTCTCGGCGTCATAAAATGGCTGCCACCGCCCCTGCCTGCTGCCGTCCACAAGCTCCGCCGTCTGCCATTGTAGGCAGGCCGCGAACCCCCGTGGGGCTCCCCGCACCCAGCCGGCCCGAGGCGGGCTGCTCGCGGAGGCAGAGCCTGCGCTCGGGCCCAGGCCCCGCTGGCCAGCCCCAGCCCCAGCCCCACGAGGCCAGCTTGGGCTGGGCTTCAAGCGGCCAGGGTCCGTGTGCCTCACTCAACTTCACAAGTACCAAGGTGTCTCTAAAACCCGTTTTCACGTCACCTTCCTAAACCCCTGCGATGAGGCGAAGCTCCTAGACAGGCGCAGACCTCGAGGAGGCACACGCTTACATAACCACGGAAGGGTGCTCGCGCTGGGTCCCAACACAGGAAACAGACGAAAATGTGCATACCTCCCCCGGGTGGCTCAAGCAAGCCATCCCAGGTTACTGGCCCTGCCATTCCCTCCTCACCGCGCCTGGGGCTGCCAGGTTTATTCCCTTAATACTCCTCTTTGAGCCATAAAAACTTAGCTCCAATTCTGATGACACAGCAACCAAGCAGGGGAAACTCCCTTCACTTCAGATCACTGAAAGTATCTTACTTGAAAAAATACCACCATTTTTAAGCAGTAAAATCTTAAGAGGAAGTGATGTCATGATTATGTACGTGTATCAATAATGTATGCAGTAACTTAAACATAACTCATCTGTCAAGGAATCTCCAAAATTTCTGGATATTCAGGTATGTGATTCAAAGTATACTTGACAAAAAGTCATTAAGTCTATGCTTCTTGTACAGCAGTAGCTCCACCAGCAGTCAAATAGGTGAAAACTTCCACGTCTCTCCAATCAGTAAAATATACTGCCCCATTTTTCAGTTAGGCAGCACAGCCTGCTCCATGAGACCACAAACCTTGCAAAAGCCTATATGCAAATCACATACTCAAGGGAGTGACAATTTTAGTATTTGGTCTTTAATGATTCGTCAAATACACCTAGGATTTCCTATTTCTTCAAATTGTCACTTTCCAGAAAACTCGAGTTAGAATTATTAGAAGTTTTGTGTCATATATATAGATAGATAGATACACATATATATATACACACCCCAGTAATGAAATGGGCAATTCATAGAGGTCCAAAATTGTATGACAACCTGCATAGGGATTTGGGATTCTATTTTCAAAAGTAGGGTTCAAAATATTTTTAATCTAAGAGTTAAACATTTATAATAAACCATACTCAAAACTAACAAATTTCTAGCCTAATATTTTAAGCTATTTTTACAAAGAAAGATCAAAATTGTAAAGAAAAAAATCACAACCTTATTCAACTTCAAGATGAAAATCTCAACAGGACAATTCATAAGAACACACCAAAAAATGCACTTACTTTAAGAAAAAATTAAGATACAGAGATCATGCAACAAAAACATCTTAGAAGCTTTATTACTTAAGTCACTAATAAGCTACTCCAAGGAATGTGAAACAGATCATGATTTGAACAAACAGTATATTTGTTAAGCTTCAGCAGATAAAAGCATTCCAGACTGTCGAGATAAATCAATAAATGTAAGCGACAACCAAAATGTAAAGATACAATACAACTACCAACCAGAAAGCACTATCTTATTAAGTATACAGATCCAAATATTAAAATATTTTAAATATAAACTATACAATTATAAATAAAGTCACAGTAACAAACACTGTATAAGTATGACAGCATTGTGAGGTTCCTGTGATCACAGATTTGATTTCATAAATTCAGGAATTGTAACCAGGTAAATGTTTTGATAAATCATCAAAACTGTCTAAAAATATCAGGTGTATCAAAAGAAATAAGAGAGTCAAATAAAAATATAAACTGAGAGGCATCAGTCAAAGGGTGCCTTTTACAATTTCATGTTTAAATGTACATTTTTTCATTCATAGAACTTTCTCAAATGTCTATTTACTATAATTTACTACTACAGGGCTCCTCTATGGCCCTCAGTTACAAGTTGGGATATCCGAGATTCTTCAAAGAAAAAAATGTGCCTTGTATGTAAAATGGTGCAATGCAGCAATGGCTAAACCCACAAGGTCATTTTTCTGCACCACAAAAACCTGAAAACTGAAATTTACAGACAGAAAAACTGTAGTTTACAGGAAAGGCCCCTTTGAATGGAGGTACCTTACCTCTTGACTACTGTAAGAGGCCTTAAGTCAGAACTCAACTTTCATAAATTGCTACCAAAAAATTAGGGTGTGGCATTTTACCAATCTCAAGGTCACACTTTAAAAAACAAACTGAAATAAGAAAAATACTTATAATCATACAGATAGTAATCCATGGCTGTCAAGGTAAACAACTGTAAGCCAAAGGTCCCCCCAAAAAAGGCAAAAAAGGAAGAAAGTTGATAGCTCATACCTCGAAGCATTGCTGGGTAGCGAACTGTCCTCCTCTTGGCTTTTGTCCTTATTTCTCATCATCTTTTAATTCTTAAATATTAAGGGGGAGGGGGAATCTGTGTTTGAAGTCCCGTGCCCAGGTATTTACTGTCAAAAGTTGAAAGAAAGGTAAGGTCCCAGCTTCTATGGATGGTATTTATTATCAGGAACAGAGTCCTGACGATGTTAGTGACATTGATATAATGCAGTAACTGTAAGCACCGAAAAAACATATATTTCTATTTTTACTTTTAAAAAAAACACAAAAGCAGATGAGCCCAACAGTGAAAGCATCACTATCAAGAGGAAAGTTTCTCAAACTAACACACTGGATACAAATAACAATCTCTGAATCTTATTGCGTCACTCAGGAATTTCTCTTATTTATACAAAATAAAACAAGCTTTAACATATAAATCTTTGAAATTATCATTAATTATCGTGAACTTACCTGATCCATGTAGTCTATCCAAAGCAAGAGTCCTATCTAGTGGCAGAAAAATATCAGATCCAAATTAATTCAAAATAAAGCCAAAATCCTCCGGTAAAAAAACAAAAAATAAATAAAACAATCCTCAAATGTTAACTGATCAAAAAATAAAGCAATAATCAACACTAAAACGGGTCCGGAAGGGGAAAAAAACCTCATTAGGAGAGCGCACAAAAATGGAGGTGCGCCATGGCTTCTGAGCTGCAAAAACAACGACCTGGGATCTCAGTACGGCGGCTTCTTTCCAGCAAGGCACGACGAGAAAGCTCCCCAAAGCTGCTTTTCTCTCTAAAAAAAGGCTCCACTCGACCCCAGAAAGTCAGTAGGAGGCAGGGGGCTGTGGGGGCCCCCTGAGGCTGCCCAAAAGTTAGGGAAAGTTGCGGAAAGTGAGGCAGAGGCAGGGAGAGAGCGCGCTCTCTCTAAGGCACAGCCGCCATCTAGAGCCTCCTTCCCAGCTCTGAGAGCTCTGCCTTTGATTGACACTCTCTACATTTACCCCACAACTCAGGTGATGTACCATAGACCCACCCCTTCTCTCCACCAAAAAAAAAAAAAAGAAAAAAAAGAAAGATCTTCCATCCCAGGGAGCCTGAAGACCCCCACCCCCTACCTCCCTGCCCCTCCAGACCACCCCATCAAGGGGAGGGGGAAGGGCTTCTTAACCCCCTCTGGCTCCAGCACCCTTTTTAAGCCAGAGAGAAATGTAATTTGTTCCTTTTGTCTAAAGATCTGCTAAATATTTCAGTCCTTCAGCTAAAATAACTTCCTCCCTGGACAGGAAGTGGAGTTTTATCAAGCCATTTTGAAATGGGATAATTCTTAAATGAATCTAAAAGCCCAGCTTAAGTACTAATCTTTTTTTTAAAAAATTAAGCCCCCCCATGAATGGAACGGTTTCCAAATAAAAGCAAAACCTCAGTTCTGCAAATTGAACTCAAGCCTTCCCATCTTTATGGTGCCTAAAAATTATGCAAAGTCAAAATTTTAAATGGAATTTTCCATCCCAACTGGGAGAAAAGGGTAATTTTTAACAACTCAAGAGCGCCTCCCTAGTGTTCAGTTTCATTAAGAGCAAAACTTAGCCAGGATTTTTTTTTTTTGCTCAAGAATCTCAGTACTTCTTTGTACTTTGATAAAAATTATTTAACCCATTATGATAACCTTGGTAATTTCACCCACCAAAAAAATTTTAATTACCACAAAATACCTTCACACAATGATATTGGCAAACCCAACTACAAATTCAGGAGTATGGACCACCAACCATTGTCACTAAACAACAAACCCAAAAAACTATCTCAAACCAAAAACATACACCCTAACAGTAAACTCATACTTCCAAATTCTAAGCATACACTCATTTAAACAATGATGAGACTATTAATAAAATAAATCTAATGATAAACTACCAAAGCAATGTCACAAGGCAAAAATCTTAGGACCCTAAGATCCATAGAAACAAAATTATACTATGCCAAAAACAATGACACAATGTTCTCATGAAATACTCTGTAAACAAGTAACCATGTTGACAAGCCCTAAAACGTCCAATCAACATTCCATACTCAACACAAAATCAGATCAATCACAACCATGTCCTTCCTTCACCAACCATACCCAGTTTAGATACACAAACAACAAAAACAACAATGTTCAATCTAGGTAAATTAAAACACATAACCCAGATTTCCAATTCTTCAAAAAGATTAACTTCTACATCAAAATCAAAACCCAAATATTCCACTCCTGCATTTAAAGATCAGTCAAGAACAAACACTATACCCAGTATTGATCATGGATTGCGCTGGCTATGGTACTTGACATTGGACACACAGTAAGATTATTTGTAACACAAAAATTATCCTAAAATATTCCTTGTATGAGAATATATAATCAATTATTCATGTGGCCTAGCCAAAATAAAACCTATTATCTTTGTAAGATTATAGATACTAAAGGTGGCTATTAGACAATTCACAATGAAAACCTGGCATTTGAAATTTAGCCATAGGTAATTTATGGTATGGTATGATTAATTTGTTCCAAATCCAAAACTCAATACAGTTAAGGAAACATAAGATACCTATTGCAAATATTATACACAATTAGCAATATATTTAAGTCTCTTTCTGTATACCCTTAGGACAAGTTCCTATTAATACAAAACTCCCCTTAGTATTAAGACATAGGAAACATCAGATCGAATATTCAACTGACCATGCTATTAAGTTGTATTTAAAAGCACAGGTTAAAGGAACCCATTTTCATCAACACAAAGTAATTGAAAGAGAAATAGTTTATCTCTTATCCTGAGTTTGCAGTCAATAACCATATTGTTTTAAAGGAAATCTCATACAGATTAAAGATTCTATTATTACCAGTGATTAAGTCATTTTGCAAGATGCTTCAAGAAAACCAAAAAAAATTTTTAAGGAAATTCACTCAGAATTTGGAAGATATAAAGCACAAGCAAAATCATGTTTTAACCAAGTGACCACCCCAAAGCACATCAATTTACATAGTCTGTGAATAAACATTCAACTCAAATAAAACATGTCCCAGCACACATTCATTTCACCAGCTTTATTCAGTATTCTTTACTCCTGGGCAACATTAAAGGTCAAAGCATTATTAGGGTTATAACTGAATGAAACTTCTACTTTAAAAAAAAAAGGCCCAAACCAATCAATTCAAGTGTTAGAAGTTTTATTGATGTTAACATTCCATGAGGTCATATTTAAATCAAATTGCAAAAAAGGTTCAGGAATACAAACTAGCCTCTGGTTTAGATGTCATCTTTCTTCTAATTTTAATGACATGAATGTCTCTAGAAAGTCATATCCACTGTCCATATGAGGTGGGTTAGAGACCTGTATCTTCAGTCTCATGGAATCCATGTTAAAGAACCCTGCTTGGTTGTACACATCACAGCACTCTTGTATTAAATCCATTTTCCTCAGTTTGCCATACTGGACTGCCATCTTGATTTCTCAGTGGAAGGATCCATTTGACTCTTCAAGCTGAGTTGGGTGGCTTGACTTAAAAAAAAAAAAATTAAAAGAAAAAAATGCTGTTGGAATACCAATAAGCTTAATGCTTCAAACAACATCCACATACCTTGAAGATATCATACCAGATACAAATTCTTAATTCCGTAACCATTTTCAACTTAAAAGATCATAAATAGACAAATAATGAGTTTCCCTATGATACATTTGTATCAATTCCAATAGTAGAGATAAAGGACCAAACTTTCAATATTGATTGAACTCCAACATCTTTACACTACATACATGAAAAGTAAGAACAAAAATTCAAATTCAAAATCTCTAGAAAGCTGAATAATAAACACTGTGGATTCTAAATCTCAATGCAGAAAAGTTTCCAAGCTCATTCAAAGAAAACTAATTATAGAAAAGTATCTTAAGGGATTTGAAAAGGAGAGGATCATGGAATACCTTTCCAGTCTAACAGATGTTAATTTTGTCTAAATACAAATGGCTTATATAGATAACACCATCTTTACTATGTTTGACATGAAATGGATCACTTCTCAAATTATATACAACTAAAATACATTATCAAAAACTAATGTTTCTCATAGAAAAGTATATCTAGTATTCAAATAATATGCACTGAAAGTAGAAATGAGAAGCTGAAGACTTTATCACTAAATAATTGGATCTATATTAAAACATAATTTAAGGGCTGGGAAGTTGGCTCAGTGGTAGAGTGCTTGCCTTGCATGCATGAGGCCCTGGGTTCGATTCCTCAGCACCACATAAGCAAAAAAAAAAAAGCCAGAAGTGGCGCTGTGGCTTAAGTAGTAGGGCGCTAGCCTTGAGCTGAAGAGCTGAGGGACAGCGCCCAGGCCCAGAGTTCAGCCCCCACAACTGACAAAAAAAAAAACCAGAAAAACAAAAATAAAACATCATTTAAAAAATAAAATAAAACATAATTTTTTTAAAAAAGCAAGTTTAAACCATAGGCTTTTCCAAATTCTGTGTGTCTCCAACTCAACTTGTGGGGAGTGACTCATTTGGAAATAGGTATTTTTGCTCACTGGATTACTTTCCTTCTCTCCTTAATTATAATTAGGATGTTGTCTACTATATACAAAAAACTACTTAATAAACCATTTAGGTAACAGAATACTGACACAATAGTAGAAAACTCATTTTTCTGGCACTGTGGTAAGGTGGCTCACCCTAACAGGAAGGCTTAAACTAAGAGGATGGTTGTTCAAGCATAGTCAGGGAAAAAGTTCATATTAGACTCTAATCTCAACCAATAAAAAAAGCTGAGTGGAACAGTTGCATGCCTGTCATCCTAGCTTTATGTATAGTCCAAATAGGAGCATCACAAAGCCTAGGATCCTAGGATAAAAAGCAAGACTCTTCTCAAAAAATAACCAAAGCCTGTAATCCTAGCTACTTAGGAGGCTGAGATCTGAAGATCAAGGTTTGAAGCCAGCCCAGGAGCTCCAATTAACCACCAAATGGCTGGCAGTTAAATTGTAGCTCAAGTGATAGAGCACTAGCCTTGAGCAGAAAAGCTATGGGCAACAAACACCCAAGTCCTAAATTCAAGCCCCAGGATGAACACATGGAGGGAGGGAGGGAAGGAGGAGAGGCGAAGAGAGAGGGAGAAGGGGAGAAGTGAAGAGGGGGAGAGGGAGAAAGGGAGAGAGGGGAAGAGGGAGAGAGGAGGAGGAGAAGGGAGGAGAGGGGGAGAGGGAGAAAGGGAGAGAGGGGAAGAGGGAGAGAGGAGGAGGAGGAAGGGAGGAGAGGGAGAGGAGAGAACGAAGGGAGAGAAGGGAGAGAAGGGAGAGGGAAAGGAAGGGGAAGGAGGAAGGAAAGGGGAAGGGGAGAAGGAAAATATGATCATCTAAAGAGTTTATTATAAGCCGAATTTTTCAGTGTCTAATATAATAATATAGGGTTCTCAAAAAGATGTTCGATGCAAATATTTTTTTATGAGCAATGACACACCAGGAATGCAGTCAGTAACTTCAGGAATTACAAAAGCAATTTACCCCATTAGGCACATTAAATAATACTCAACATGTCTTGCCATGGTACAGGGGCTAAGTTTACCTAGAATACTATGTGTAGTTTCCTATTTTTTAATCAAAACATAACCTAATGCCACTATTAAAAGCATTAAAAAATTAATCAAGGGGTTAGAGGTATGGCTTAGTTGGTAGGGCCCTAGCCAAGGAGTGAAAGCATCAGATACCAAGTTTGAGCTCTGGCCTCAAAAAAACTCAAAAGAGGGCTGGGAAGGTGGCTCAGTGGTAGAGTGCTTGCCTTGCATGCATGAGGTCCTGGGTTCAATTCCTCAGCACCACATATGCAAAAAGAAAAAAAGCCAGAAGTGGCGCTGTGGCTCAAGTGGTAGAGCGCTAGCCTTGAGCTGAAGAGCTGAGGGACAGCGCCCAGGCCCAGAGTTCAGGCCCAAGGACCGGACCCCCAAAAAAAAAACAAAAAACTCAAAGAATGCTTTGGTCTATCTGAAAATAAAAATTAGAAACTAGTAGTATATTTATTATGCTACCAGTTATATAAAATGTCATTTTTAGCTAGGCACTGGTAGCTCACTCCTGTAATCCTAGCTCAGGAAACTGAGATTGCTATAGCTCAAGTGGTAGAAAGCCAGCCTTAAATGCTAGCCTAGGGACAGCACCCAGAAGCAGAGTTCAAACCCCAAGGCTGGCAAAAAAAAAAAAAAAAAAGTAATTTTCAAAAAACAACCAAATGGGGGCTGGGAAGTTGGCTCAGTGGTAGAGCACTTGCACTGCATGCCTGAGACCGTGGGTTCGATTCCTCAGCACCACATAAGCAAAAAGAAAAAAGCTGGAAGTGGTGCTGTGGCTCAAGTGGTAGAGCGCTAGCCTTGAGCTGAAGAGCTGAGGGACAGCGCCCAGGCCCAGAGTTCAGGCCCCATGACCGAACCCAAAAAAAAAAAAAAAAAAAGCAGGGGAGGGAGGGAGGGAGTGTTCCAGTTGCTCATGCCTATAATCCTAGCTACTCAAGAGGTTCAAAGCCAGCCCTGGCAGTAGAGTTCCCCTGAGACTCTTATCTCCAATTAACCACTCAAACAATGGAAGTGGCACTGTGGCTCAAGGGGTAGAATGCTAGCCTTGCACACAAAGAAGCTCAGGGGCAGTGCCCATGCCAAGAGAATATATATTACTGTATCTGAGTATTAAATATGTTAGACATTCAAACCTGAAAAATATCTTGAAAAGCACCACCAGGTATGTCACTAAATGGGCAAGAGCAATTGATAAGCAAAAAAACTGAGCCATCTTTACTACGATTTTTCCAATCAAGTCAGTCTTCTCAACTGGTTTATAACCAGACAACAAAACCTATTTAGCAGACTAAAATGAATCTAGCTCAAGAAGTGTGAGAAAGAGAGATTTTAATCACTTTAATATTTTTTTGAGTCAAAATTTTGGCTTTCACAAACTTGGGAGGTTCAATCCCCAGTATTGAAAAAAAAAATTAAAAACTTCAAAGCACCTTAATATTTGACACAGTAAAATCTTATGTCTTTTTTCTTTTTTGGGGTGGGCGGGGAGAGAGGGGTGTCCAGTTGTGGGCCTGAACTCTGGGCCTGGGCGTTGTCCCTCAGCTCTTCAGCTCAACAGCGCCACTTCCGGCTTTTACTTTTTGCTTATGTGGTGCTGAGGAATCGAACCCAGGGGCTTCAAGCATGCAAGGCAAGCCTCTACCACTGAGCCACCTTCCCAGCCCAAATCTTATGTCTTAATGAATTTCATTTTGCTTTTTATTAGGCCAAAAACACTGGTTGATAAACAGTATTTATAATAGAGGCCAAATCTGCATATTAAGTCAACAAGTATTAATGTGCCAGGTAACTCATCTCTTTAAGTAACTCATCTCTTTAAGTTATATGACCAGACATGCATGCCATTAAGTTTGTAGACCTACTCTCCAGCCCAAAAAGCCATTTACACAATTAAGCTGAATTACTGAGGGAATATGATATGCAATCTAGATTCCCAAATGTTTCAAAAAGAATTATTCTTATGAAACAGCTAGTATGCAATTTCCTAAAATGTTCAATGATAAGTACTTTGAAGAACTTACCCAAATTCATTTTATATACACCTGCCCTATGTAACTTTTCTACTAAATCTCAGGACTGTCTGGAGTTAGAAAAGCTGTAACATAGTACTGGCTATTAATAAAACATCTTGTATCAAATTAAAACCTCAGAGCCCGCCAGGCTTATTGGCTTTCAAGTTTAGGAATTACTTCATTTATTAGAAGTATCTACAATATTAAAGTAAGTGAACAGTATACTCAATAATTATCAAAAGAGAAACCAAAAACTTTGGCGTCCATGCCAAAGCTAACCCATCAGGATAAATCCAGGACCAATGTCAGCAAACTTTTCTTAAAAAAGAACCACTGTGAACGACACTTCATATAGTTTTTTAACAACTGTCCATTCTGAAACTGGCTCAGGAAAGCAACTATAAGGTTACTGATGAAAGAGAACACGGTGTGTTACAAAAAAATTACCTTACAAAAGGAATTTCAGACAGGTCCAAATATGTAAGTTTATGTTTTTCTTTGCCTTAAAGGAAAGCAAAATAATAGAAATAGAAAAATAATAGAAAAACTACACTAATAAATTTCACACATACTTAACCAGGTTTATGTTCTTGCAATTTAGAGCTTTGCTAAATTTTGTTACAATTCTGGTTCAAATTATCAGTCATTTTTAAAACTTAAAAACATGAATCATATAAATTAAATAATACTTACTAAATGTTCCCACCAATGTCTTGTTGTTTAGGCCTTTTTTACTCCATATGAGGAATCAAATTTCTGCAGGAAAAAAATGTATCTTATTTTACATAGGAAATGGTAAAACTACTGTCAAACACATGATGCACACCATTTTGTCAATCATTTAGTTTCCCTAGAATTGCTGGGATTTTAACTCAGGACCTCATGATCACTTGGCTTGTTTGTTCTGTTGGCTCTACCACTCGAGCCATTACTCCAGTCTCAAACTTCAACTTATTTTTTAAGGACCACTCATCAACAGACCAAGAGGTATATACTGAAGTACATTTATTCCAAGCAAAGAAAAACTCTAAAATGACCATAAATTTAGCAGTGCAGGAAGCTAATTTTTGTGAGTTAAAATTGCATGTCTATCTCTCTCAGTCCCCCATGAAATTCATGAAATCCAAAGAGCTAAAGAAATATTGTAGTTACAAAAGTAGAAGACTGAGTGTCCAGGGGTTAAAAAAAAAAAGTCAGTATCACCACTTAACGGTCTTTCATCTTTCAAGCCTTTGTAAAGCTTTCATTTCTCACCTTCAAGGTCGGTTTTCTCTGTATATTAGTATGTTCCCACACATTATCAGGTACTATAATCAACATAATGTGATACAAGTACATGACTGAAAATTCTAAAAAATTAAGTAACAGTAAAACCTAAGGCATCATTTCAAACAGCTATTTCAAAGCTAAGACAATACATACTATTTTCTATATAGTAACAGGTACTTGGTAATAAAACTACTGTATTTATACTTGTCATTACACAAATAGATTTAAACCTAAGAGAACGCTAGAAGTGAAGTTAAGGTATTTTCTAAGGGGCCAACTTACTGTGCCTCTAGCCTCTCATTGCCCAGCTAATATTGCACAACCATAATGCAAAGGATTCCAGCAGCACCTCTCCTAAACTGATCAAGTTTGAGACAATTCTGCAAGCCAGGCTACGCCTGTAATGCCATTCAGGAGGCTAGGATCCAAGGACTAAGAATCTTGTCCCCAAAGAACTACCAAAAAAACTACAAGTAGAGCTGTGGCCTAAGTGGCAGTGCACTACCCTTGAGCACAAAAGCTCAGGGACAAAAGCCCTGAGTTCAATCCCCAGGATTGAACAAGACAAAAAAAAAGGGTGGCAGAAGATTTCAATTTAAGCAGAGGAAAATCATTGGTTTTGCTCAGATTCCTACCCAACCATACATTTGTACTATGCTTTATGATTTAAAAGTAAAAAGCAAATATAATGTAAATATAATCACTAAGAACGGTACTGTTTTATAAGAAATTCAGCTTTATTATTTTAATAAATGCCTTTAAAATAGTTTAAAACTAAAATTTAAAGGCATTGTGAAAGAAAAACACAAAAGCAGGGTAACAGTGGTTGCTAATATACCAAAAAACTCTGCTTGAAGACAAGTCATAAATCATTAAGCTTTAAACAAAAAAAAAAATCTAGCTTGAAGAACATGGCTCAACTGGCTTTATGAAAGTGGGAGTGAGGGGCTGGGAAGTTGGCTCAGTGGTAAAGCACTTGCCTTGCATGCCTGAGGCCCTGGGTTCGATTCCTCAGCACCACATAAGCAAAAAGAAAAAAGCTGGAAGTGGCGCTGTGGCTCAAGTGGTAGAGCAATAGCCTTGAGCTGAAGAGCTGAGGGACAGCACTCAGGCCCAGAGTTCAGGCCCCACGACTGGACCAAAAAAAAAAAAAAAAAAGTGGGAGTGAGGAGTTCAAATCTAGCCCCATCACTGAAATGTAAATGTTTGTAATTACTACTGGTCTCAACAGGTTGTGAACTATTCAACTTCAAAGAAATTTGCTTAACTTTCAAAAGAATAATCTGTGAAATGCAGACATAAGTATTAATGCATAAATCAAAACTTGGACTGTTACTCAAATATATACTTCAATGATAAAATTACTCAAATATATACTTCAATGATAATCAGATCTCATCTTACTTATGAGATTCACATTAACATTCCCCAACATTGCCAAGGGTAATTACATTCAGAAATAATAGCCCACTGGGAAATGAAAGTCTGCATTCAATCTAGGGGAGGGGTCTGGAGGTGTGGTACATGTGCCTGTCTACCAATCTACAAGAGGAAGGTAGCTCATGAAGATACTAAGAATAGAAATTTCTAGCTGAGAACCAGTGCCTCACACCTATAAAGCTAGTTACTCGGGAGGTGAGATCTGAGAATCCTGGTTGAAAGCCAGTTGGGGCAGAAAGTCCCCCTAAAACTCCTATCTCCAATTAGCCCTCAAAAACTAGAAGTAGAAGCCAGGCGCCAATAGCTCAAGCCTGTAATCCTAGCTACTCAAGAGGCTGAGATCTGAGGATCACGGTTTAAAGCCAGCCCAGGCAGAAAAGTCCGTGCAACTCTTATCTCTGATTAACCACTAGAAAACTGGAAGTGGCGCTAAGGCTCAAGAGGTAGAGTGCTCGCCTTGAGCTGAAGAGCGCAGGGATAGCACCCAAGCCCAGAGTTCAAGCCCCAGGACCAAAAAAAAAAAAACAAAACTAGAAGTAGAGTTGTGGCTCAGAGTGGTAGATCACTAACTAGCCTTGAGCAAAAGAGCTCAGGGACAGCACACAGGCCAAGTTCAAACCCCACAACCAACAAAAACAAAATATAAATTTCATAAAGGTAATTACATAACTCTATCAAATACACAAATATTTAGTAAAGCTTTACTCTATTTAATCAAACTACAAAATATTAACAATTCCATTAGTAAAGACTTAGAAAAATGCTTTTGCTGCAAAATTCTAAGTACTAACTCAAGATTTCATCCTTTTCCAATGGTTGTGTTCATATTATTTGAAGTAACTAAGAATCAACAAAAAGTATTATTACTCCAACCGTTTCCATGATTTCTGGTGCAAAAACTATGATGTCTATATGAAAAAATTAGATACTCTAAAGCAAAACTTAAGACTTTGCAATCCTCAGATCTCAGCTTACTGAGTAGCTAGGATGACAGGCATGAGCCACAGTGCCTAGCCAGAGTGGTATTTAGGAGTCTCCGGATTGTTGAATGTTCTATTTGCCATTCCATTCCACCCCTAACAAAACAGTAAAATCTCAGCAGAAAAAAGTAAATTCCAGTTTTGTGGAGGTTTATGGGAGCTTAGAGTCTCAGACTTTCCTGCCGAGGCTGGCCTTACACAGCAATCCTCAGATATCTATTAGTAGATCTGCTAATAGTAGTCTAAAAACTGAAAGCAAAAAAAAAAAAAATATACATTTAGGAAAAACTACATTTTAAAGAAAATCTACACTTAAAATGAGTTATCCCATATATTTTCCACTAAATATCACTGTTTCACAAAACATTGTGATATGACCTAACGTCTTTTCTGTGTGTGCTTAAGATGACTTTGAACCATCTTTGAACCATCTGACTCAGATCTCAGACTCCTGAGGTAGGATTACAGGCATGAGCCACAGGCACCCGGCCAACTTCTTTTATTTCTTTGGTCAGGTTAATTTTGAATTATCAGAACACCAAACACACCCCAGCCTAATCTTGACCTGCTTATGATTTAAGAACAGGTCCAAAATCCTAACATAAAAAAACAACCTTGCCCGTTGCTAGTGGCTGATACCTGTAATACTACTCAGAAGGCTCAGATCTGAAGATTTCAGGTTCAAGGCCAGCCTAGGCAGGAAAGTCTATGAGACTCTTAGCTCCAATAAACCTCCCGAAAACTGAAAGTAGAGCTGTGGCTCAAACTGGTAGAGCACTAGTATTGAGCAAAAGACGTCAGGGACAGTGCCCATGCTTTAAGTTCAAGTCCCACAAAGAAAGGAAGAAGGAAGGAGGGAGGGAGACAAAGGAGGAGAGAGAAAGAAAGGGGGGAGAAAGAAAGGGGGAAGAGAGGGAGGGAGGGAAAGAGAGAGACACTGAGGTGGGGGGGAAGAGAAGGAAGGAAAGAAGAGAGACAGGCTGAAGTACACAGGTTAAAACTTCCTTATGTATCATCTACTATGTGTACCTATGGTAATAACTTAATAACTTCATTTACATAGACAGCTTCTCCATTTACATTTGCCTTCTGCCAGTTTTGTCCACTAAGTTAGATTGGCTCAAGCAATAAATATAACACAAGATACAGTATTATGCCAGTACGTATATTTCTTCAAGATAAGATTTCTGGGGCTGGGAAGGTGGCTCACTGGTAGAGTGCTTGCTTTGCATGTATGAAGCCCTGGTTTCGATTCCTCAGCACCATATAAACAGAAAAAGTCGGAAGTGGTGCTGTGGCCCAAGTGGTAGAGCACTAGCCTTGAGCTGAAGAGCTGAGGGACAGCGCCCAGGCCAAGTTCAGGCACCACGACTGGTTAAAAAAAAAAAAAAAAGATATGATTTCTTCTTCTAATTCTTCATCTCTTTGATGATAAAAGCTATATTCCATTAGATTAAGTAGGCTACCGTATCACTTGAAAGTTTTAGTAATAGTACAGTAAGAAGGATTAAAATTCTCCATCTCAAATTTCTAAAGTTCTTCGGCGTTTTCCCCCCTCTCTAATGGCTCAAATAATACCTTTGGTAGGCCAGTATAAACATAATTTACACTTACACTTCTGACTGCTTTACCCAGAACACTTCATTCTCAAATTTTCTACTAGTGCTCAACACATGAATGCCTACTTACTAAGCCTCATCAGTTGCTGAGAGGAAACTCATCTTTACAATCTTAAGAAGTTGGGATGAAGCTGGGCACCAGTGGCTCACACCTATAATCCTAGCTACTCAGGAGGCTGAGATCTGAAGATCGTGGTTCAAAGCCAGCCCGGGCAGGAAAGTCCATGAGACTTTTCTCTCCAATAAATGACTCAGAAAACCAGAAGTGTACCGTGGCTCAAGTGGTAGAGCACTTGCCTTGAGCCTGAAGAACTGAGGGACAGTGCCCAAGCCCAGAGTTCAAGCCCCATGACCAACCAAAAAAAAAAAAAAGAAAGAAAAGAAAAATTGGGATGAAGGTAGTTTTTTTTTAATGTTTTGACCCACTCTAGTATAGTTTAATATCTCACATTTTGTTTGCATCTGCACACAATACATAACAAACCTGACCAAACCAAAAAACATTTTAAATAGAGACAGATAAGCTAAAGAAAGCAAAGGCATTAATGTAGTCTCTTCACCACCTATTTGAGTCAATGGAATAAGCGAACACCATCCATGAAGACTGAACTTTATTTTCCACATAAATTGCACAAAGGTAAATAGGTCCTTATTTTAATTGGTCACTTGTGTATTCTTTTACTCCCCAAGTTATCACTTACAATAGAATAACATTAATTTCCAGACTCACTTTTAAGTTAGTGTGAACACTTCTTTGCTTAACAAGATCAGAGCACATATTTTCTCCATTTAAGATGTCAATACATCGCTAAGCTAACCCCGGAGCTATTGACGATTGAAGATAATTTCTACTATTTAGGCTTTAGTTGTCTCTTCAGATAAAGTAAGTTTGCTGGAAAACAACCCATTTTTACCTGTTTAAAAATAAACTGATCATATTTTAAATATATTTAATAACTAAGACAAGAAGGGTTTTTGATACGTAGTTCTTTCAAGAATCCTAGCAGCAGCAATAAAAAAATTCAAGGTCATTCTTAAAATATGACTGAAAAATGTCCTTTTTGTATTATAAAGTCATAAGGTCCCGATGACTATGGCAGATATAACAATCTTAAATCACCATTTTAAAAACTAAGTGTCTTACTTGAATGTCATACTTAAATCACCATTTTATTTCAAGTACTAAATGTCTTACTTCTTAGTTGAATGTAACTATATGCATGGGCATAAATTACATGCACAGACTAATAATAATCTAAAAGTGTCTTGATTTGATGTAAGGTAGAACAATCAGAAAGATCGTTTTCCTTTACTTTTTCATGTATAAACGATCCAGTTTGTCTCACTGAAAAACTCTTGTGGTATTTTCAAACCCAAATGTTAATTATTGCATTTCAGATAAGAGGTTAAAAAAAATTACTCACTTGCTATGTAAAACAGGTTTTCCAAAGGGTTTCCTTTTACCCTCAAGGACAAAAAAACTGTCTTCAAAATGGCACACACCTTTTGGGGGAAACAAACAACATTCTAAACAACCTAATAATGAAGCGATCTATAGGAAGAAGAAATTAATATTTTCAGATTTTCCACTTATACAAGAAACAAACTAATTTATATCCTAACACTACCCATGAAAAATGTTCTCTCCTAAAATCTATTAGTTCAAAGGAAAACGACTTCAAATTTTCCAATAAATAATTTCTGTGACTTTAACGCTGAAACCATTTACATCATAGAAAAAGGTACCCTTGGATCCTTGGATTTCCCTAAAATAGTCTTGTCACCAAAATTAAACAAAGACTTAAAAGACTGTCAATATCTTATTCTAACCGAAAGTACATTGCAATGGCTAAGGCATATATCCTTTTTTTCTGTGAAGATTTAAAAAGGTTCCCGAAAATTATTTCAGATATTTACTCATGCAACTTTTAAAAGCCATCCTATTAGTATTAATTGGTTGCTTGAAATGTATCATCAAAAAGCAAAACCAAAATTTTATGTCAAATCAATGAAAATTTTATGTAAAAGCAATAAAAATTAACCAGATCTTACCTGGGACAAAAGTTGTATTTGTTCACAACTACCAGCAATCAATTAAATTTAAATCTTGTAAGTTACCTTTAAAAAAAAGAAAGATATCAATTGTTTTTATTGTAAACATTTCCTAGTCAAAGAAAGTGTTTATAACAAGAAAATATGAAAAAGACAAGATCTAAGGGTGTCCTGAAGAGGTAGGTGGTGGCCATGACCTGTACATTCATGATAGCAGTCATTTCTCATCCTTAATGTCTATCAGTCTTTGTTTTCCCCATCTTTTGGTTGCACTCACATATACTAAAGGCATAGCAATTAAAAATACAGAAAATTCAAGACATTGCTACAATCTTATTTTTTCTCTTTAGAAGCCATATACTAAACAAAAAGTTTACCATTTTTAACAACTGCAATCTCTTAAAATTTTCCATTACCATTGCAAAAAAAAACCCTACAGTTATAAGCATTAAAAATTAAATACTCCTGGAGAAATTAGTGAAGTTAAAATGGCCACTGCTTACTTTAAATTTTAAACTCCAAGTTACTCGATCTCACAGAGTGGGGTATTTACCTTTGTCTTCCAAGCAGGTCTAAAACTCCTAACATCTGTGACCTTTATTTTATTTCAAACCCAGGTCTGGAATGTTTTCAGCCTACCTCCTCCATTACCATGTAAAAAGATCTTGTGATGTAAAACCACTAGCAATTATTATCTTTGCATTTTACTATTCAGGAAGAATCCTAAAACCCTCCACAGCCAAGACCTCTAGAAAACCACTTTTACTTTTCAAAGATTTCTAAAACACTGACTTGGAAAAACCAAACTAGGATTTAAAACAGATTTGGTAAAAAAAAAAAAAATCAGGATATGCGCAACTGATGTAACACATACCTTTATCACAGCTATTTGAAAAAAAATAATAACAATTTTTACTGGAATAACAATATCATTGGATACATGGTTGAATAAACAGCGTTGCTTTTAGATGTGCTACGTATCTAACTATTCCGAACACTTATTTTTGAACACTTATTTTTACGCAGTTCTGCACCTTTACAGCACCAGAGCTCTGCAGAAGGAAGACATTCTAAAATACACAAAAGGTTTGTGCATTTCTGGTTTGTTCTCCAAACCATTAAACCTCAATTCTCTCTTCAGATCATTTTTAAATTAGACTACTCACTGAACTCTGCAATTTTTCGAATTCCTGTTACCTTTAAAATACTGTTTCGTTTTGAAGCACATCTAGATTTTTATACATGCAACAAATATGGCTTCTCTTCGTCGTCCATTACTGACTGAGCAGCCCGACTTTAATATTTACACTACCAAAAAGTAACTTCACGAGAAGGAGATTTGGTTACCAGAATATTCCTTGGTAAAAGTTTTCGCTTTCTGGCTTATAATACAGCTTTTTTTTTAATGTATATAAAAAACTAAGAGGATCAAGTTCAACTTTTGGTCTCTGAACTGACCCAAGTACGTCTTTTCACATTCAGGTGTGAGAAGTTAAGACACCAGCTCTTCACGACGACCTTTTAACAAGTCCTAAACAATTTATTTACGTTCAAGTTGTCGAGATATCAAAAGATCTTAGCATAATTACTGAGGAGGAAAATCTGAATCAAACGTCATCGCCTAGCATCGTAATTATCGAATCCATTAAACAGCTTTGGCAACACAGTAAACTTGTCTTCGTCATTTTGGAAATAACCAGAAGAAGAAGAAAAGGCTCCAACTTGCTTCTTCCTCCCCACCCCCCCCCGCCCCAACAACAACCTGATCGCCATCAAAATACAAATTTAAAAAGAAGCTTCAAGAACCTTCGCCTCCACAGCCAGTTTTTGCAATCAGCTTTCAAAGAGTTAAAAGCCAACACCCAATTTGGGGAGTGGGGCGGAGGGGGGGGAACTGAAGAAGAGGAAGGGGGGGGATAAAAGGCAAGTTTTATTTTTGTTCAAACGTAGTCAAGGGTTCCATTGTTCTTGTAAATTCCACCAGCCCAGATGAGTTCCCCAGGTCCTCGGGCAGAGAGCACAAAACCTCCGAGGTCCGGACCGACCTGGAGGGCGTTTCCCCCCCCAACACCCACCCTCCCGCCCACAATAACAGCATCAACTCCCCGGGACGGGAAGGAGC